CATAGAAATAATATATTATTAAATAATTTAAAAAATCTTCCTTGTCTTCAAAATTACTTTTTTATTTATAAACGGTTTGTTCATATTGAAACAATAAATAAGAAATTAATAATATTTTTATTTTGGAAAAAGCACATTTTGGAGTATATTTTAATATTTTATTAGGTTTTCCAAAATTAACTATTTCCATTAAATTTTCCAAAACGTACTATTTCCATTAAATTAATGGAAAAGGTACGTTTTGGATTATTTTACATTTTTATATGACAAAAAAATATGTATCTAGATGTAGAATCATTAAAGTCATTCTATCTAAATTTTAAAAACAATACTGATAGGTAATATTATTTTCACAGGCAATTTAAAAAAGTCCCTAAAAAATAAAATAAATGTGTATATTGTATAATAATTAATAAATTAACATATACAGCCATTGGCCATATGGGGCCCCGCGAAATTCTGCACCGGGCCCCGAAAACCATCGGGCCGGCACTGGACAGGATGGGCGCGACCAGACGAACGAGATATTCTTCCGTCTTATCGGAAAGAGCTCCTTCTATTTTGTCCGTAATAATGTCCTCCAACATTTCCATTAATAACACGTTTACCGCGGCGCGGTCGATGTCGCAGTTGTTAGTTGCCATACTTTATATGTTTTGAATAACGAAAATAATTTTTGCGTGTACTTTAGGATTCGATCGAGAATTGGTAATAAGCTAAATAAGAATATTTCAACACATAGACCGATCTCCGAGAAAATCTCCCAGACGACGGTGTGTGTTAGCCAGCTAGTATGTTTATCGTTCTGGTCGGCCCGCAGCATTAGAATTTCGAGCGCGTTAACAATAATAATATAATAAAAATGTTATTTTATTTGCAAACAATTTTAGATTCTGAGCGGAGCGATGAATGTATTGGTTTTACAATGATGTGTGTTTTTATATTTTTTTATTTTTTTTTGTGTCTGTCATCACGTTTTAGGACAGCAAAAGTGCTTGGATTTTCTTCATCAGTAGCTTTTCTGATAGGAAAGTGAATCTGGTTGGTACTTTGGGGGGTCAAAAGTATAAATTTCCCAGTAGTTTTCCCAAGCGCCGTGAAAAAAACATAAAAATTAAGGAAAAACGGGAATTTTTACGCAAAATTGGTTTTCCAAAAAATCGATTTTGGTTATTGGTGTAACTCTAAAACAAATTAACGTATATACATGAAATTTTCACTGGTTGTTAATATTTGCATTTTCTATACACGATAACATTTTCAAAATATTTTGATTTATTTTGAACTGTTTAGGGACATTTTCATTTTCCATTTTTTTTTAGTTTTTTTTCTAAAAATATCAATAAAATTGTATTTGTTGGTTGCGAAAGCTTGAAAATTTAATAGAAGGCTCCTAATATATTGTTTCAAAGGCAGATGAAAAATATTAAAAATCCTTAATCACAATTTTTTTTTATAAGTATTTAAAGTTCAAAAATTGACAAAATATTGAAAAATCACGAAAATTAGCAAATTATTTTGAGTTAAGAATTCGTAAAAATTTTTCTTTTTAAATCTAAGATTTGAAAATGAAACACAAGATTCCTTATAAGATTATCTACCTTTATCAATAAAAAAATCTCTACCGGACAGTCAAATTAAATTTTTATGAGCGTTTGAAATTCAAATTTTTACAACATTGGATTTTCACTCGATTACTCATGTAGCGATTTCCTTATTTTGTTGCAATTCAAAAACGAACAACTGTAGATACATGAAAATTTCACTGAATGTTTAAATTAGCATTTTCTATACACCATACAATTTTGAAAATATTTTGACTTTTTGAGCTGTTATTGGACATTTACAGCTTTTAATTTTTTTTAGTTTTTTTTTCTATAAATATCAATAAAGTTTTATCTGTTGGGCCAAAAAGTGTAAAAAATTAATACAAGGCTCCTGATATATTGTTACAATATCAGTTGAAAAATATTAAAAATACATAGGCACAGTTTTTTTTTATAAGCATTTAAAGATCAAATTTTGACAAAATTTATCAAAATCTCGAAAATTATCAATCATTGTAATTAATAAATTATAAAATGTTCAGTTTTTATAGCTAAGGATTGCAAATTCAACACAAAGGTTCTCGTAAATAGTTCATACTGTAACCAAAAAATCTAAAAAATATATGAACACAGTTATTTTTTACAGACATTTTAAATTCAAATTTGGACGAAATTACATATTAAAAAACCTAGAATAACTATTTTAGTAATTTTGTTGTGATTGAATAATATTATTCGTGGGTACTTGAAACTTCTAAAGTGTACTATTATATATCTATGATAGTATCACGGTTTTTGTTGATGTATAACGCGTTACCAGTACCTAATGGATATTGTGATATGATTAATTTGGAATTTATTATAGGTACCTATTATAGGTCAATTTTTTGTTTAATACCATAGATATGTATATAATGTGTCTTATACATAGACTGACATACCGTCTCCTCTCAGAATTGTTTTTCTTATACAATGATATTATATCGTTGAATTCAAATTTAATATCATCCATTATACAGTGACCCACTTGTAACCTACTGTACAGCAGAGCGACACCCACTTGCCCACCTTTTTTTTTTTTTTTTTTTTTCTATGAATATCAATAATGTTTTATCTGTTGGGCCAAAAAGTGTAAACATTTAAAACAAGGCTCCTGATGTATTGTTAGAATATCAGTTGAAAAATATTAAAAATACAGTCACCATTTTTTTTATAATCATTTAAAGATCGAATTTTGACAAAATTTAAAATTGATTAATTATTTTGTAGTTAAAAATTTATAAAATGTTCAACTCTTATATCTAAGGATTGAAAGTTACAACAAGATTCCACGTAAGTAGTTTATTCTGTTACCAAAAAAACTAAAAAATACATATGCACGATTTATTTTTATAGCCATTTTAAGTTCAAATTTGGACGAAATTACATATTAAGAAACCTAGTTATTTTGTTGTGATTGTACCTATATTATTTGTGGGTACTTGAAACTTCTAAAGTGTACTATTAATTATTATATATCTATGAATATTGAATATGATAGTATCACGGTTTGTTGTTGATGTATAACGCGTTATAAGTACCTAATGGTTATTGAGTTATGATTAATTTGGAATTTATTATAGGTACAATTTTTTTTTTAATACCATAGATAAGTGTCTTATTTGATAATATGTCTTATACCTAGACCGACATACCGTCTCTGCTCAGAATAGTTTTTCTTATACAATGATATTATATTATTGAATTCAAAATAATACCATCCATTATACAGTGACCCACTTGTAACCTACAGTACAGCAGAGCGACATACACTTGCCCACCCACACTGTACAGCAGAGCACCTTTTTTAAATATCACATTTTTAGGAATTATTGTAAATTAAAGTGGGTAAGTGGATGTCGCTCTGCTGCACAGTAGATTACAATTGGGTCAATGTATAATGGATTGTATTAATCTTGAATTCAATGATATAATATCATTGTATAAGAAAAACGATTCTGAGCGGAGACGGTTTGTCAGTCTGAATATTTTATTTTGTTATTATTTATTATATCCTGTAAGTTGAATTGATATTATATTATTATAATTTTTTATTCATTCCTATGGTGATAAATAAAGAGTTAGAAATTAAAATCATATTTTTAACGATGTTTTCATAATTTGTCGGTGGTTTTTCCTGTGCAATTAAATAAATATTGATAAAATCGAAAAACGACCTTTCTAAAGTACCATCTTGATCCAATTTGCTAAAAGATAAGGTACTATATGTTGAAATTGAAGCACTCCTTCTGGTAGATATTTTGTAAACAGGATATATAAAAAAAAAAAAATAATAAACACCATTGTAAAACCAACAGCTTCCTCACTGCACTCAGAATCTAAAATGTGGGGGAATTGATTTCAAGTAGACTTTACGACGAATTCAAATCTGTTTTTAGAATTCTTATCGCTTCATTATATCAATTGGTAGTTTGGGAACCTGCCTAAAATACCAAGACAAATTAGATAGGTACCTATCTATCTAATTTTGCATTTAAAATACTATGTTGAGCGTGTTAGACAAAAACAGAAAATCACGGTATCGAATCCCCTTAAATGTAGGTTAGGTATAGGTAGGTATAGCCGGCAGTGTCGGACTGGCCATGGCCGCTGGGCCGCGAATGCGGCCGGGGCCCCTTCCTTTTTTTTTTTTTTTTTTTAGTGTCGTCAATTTTGTCCAGCATTTTCCCTAGGGCCTATAATATGATGATGAATAATAGTAAAATGAAATTGTCTAGTAATAAGTTAGAGCAGGTTTTTTGGATTAATTGCACTACTGCAAGTTAAGTTAGGTTTTATAGGACTTAGACGAGACCACGAGGACCCCGCTTGCCCGACCCTGCAGGGGCCCCAGTGCGGCAGTGCCCCGCTGTTGGAATCATGCAAATATTGCATAGAAAAAAATGTATTATGTATTAATTTACAATACTATACGTCTATAATATCTGTATAAATGTATAATATATAAATATATAATAATGATGAAGGTATGACATTTACTTTTGAAAGCGACTTAAATAATATAATTCTTATATAGCTTACGGATATGTCTCCTAAATTGAAATTTTATAATGGAAATATAATTTTAGTTTTCGTAATTTCATTTCTGTGGAATTAATAATTATTATTTATTGTTTTGTAGCTTCAAATGTTTCATAGTTTATTTTTAAACGAATGATTTCCATCGCGTCGGCTTTGCGTTAATATTGTATTATAATGCTATTATTTATAAATATTATATAATGTTTTTCTCGCATCCCATCGAGTATCGACTATCGACTATAGTTATTTATAAAAATATTGTCGACTAATATAACTAGGATAATACTGTTAATAGTATAATACGTATAGCTATTCAGCTACAACTCCGGTGTCAATTTATCTACAAACTAAAACTATAAATTATTTACAAGCATGGAATATGATAGCTGCTTTAAAAAAAGAAATGATGAGTATGTATTAAATTTATATAAAAAATGTCAACATTTTTGTAAAAAAATAAATAATCACTTTTGTGAAGAAGATTTAATTAATATTGAAGAAGATTTTCCAATAAAACGTATTTCAAAAAAAAAAAAACTTTCTGGGGAAAAGTGTAATGATGAATCAAGAATTATATCTCCATATAATAAATTTAAATATGATACTTTTTTAATTATAGACGCTATTCAAAATAGTATTGAGACACGATTCATGAAAAATGAAAATTTATTAAAAGACTTGAACTGGTTGGACCCTAGAAGTTTTGCAGTATTTAACAACACTGAATTATTGCCTGTATCAGCTTTGAGTACTATATGTAAAATATCTGGACTGAATCATCAAGTAAACTTAACAGAATTGAAACAATTTTCCAGTCAATATGAACATTTTATACCATAAATACCTAAATATACTACCGATTGTGATTCAGAAGATAAGTTACTTTTAAGAAATGAAGATGTGAGTGATGAAGATAATGATGAAATATCAAAATCAGTAAATTGCAATAAGTGTAACAAATGTATTCACTGTGCATTTTTAATTGTACGAGAATTATCATGAGAGTCAAATTTATTTTCAAATTTATTTGTTATACCTATATAAGTTTGCTTTGTTGTTGCCATCAACACAAACAACTTGCGAAAGGGTATTTTCAAAGCTTAAATGTATAAAAACGAAACTTCGCTCAACGTTACATCAAAATCACCTTACTCCATTAATGTTGATGGCTATAGAAAAAAATATAGCTATTGACACTCAAAAATTGATAGAGACGATAGCATATTCATCTAATGAATTAAAAAAATTACTTATTTAAAAATTGTGTTTTATTATTTAAAATATTCTTACTAGGTATAGGTAGGTACCTATTTCAAAAATAATTAGTTGTAAAATTGCTTTTATATTTAAGTTAACTCATGAATCATGGTTATGATATATATTATATATTATGATCCATATTAGTAAAAATGTAAAGTACCTTTATTTAAAGAAGTATCTTAATATGTTGTTTCAACGAAATACGGTGTACATTTTTTGGGGGCCCCTTAGAAAAACTGATCCATGGGCCTTTGGTATGCCAGTCCGACACTGATAGCCGGTATAGGTGAGTGGAAACTCATAATACGCATAATCTTTGGAGAGCAGGTCCACCGCCCACCATGACTATTATAGTATGGAAATGACTAGGTATGGTTTTTCACCCCCCTAAATTCAGCTCTAATTTATTATATAAGTTACAATACTATTTTCGTAAAGCATTATGCTTGAGGAAAATTGTTTTGTTTGCGCTTTATGTATTTACTATGATTTTTGTCATTCAAATATTTAGATTGTTTTATTATTGTGAAGGCATGTACGATGTACGTTATAACTTATAAGTAATAATTAAATAATACCTATAGGCTATAATATATTAATATAAATAGTAGGTACCTAATAACTATAGTAACTTGATATAGTTACACTTATAACTTATTTTATAATTCTACCAAAGTCCAAAGTTCCTAACTCAATGATTGCTACAGCCTGCAGTGTTATTAACGTGACATAATGTATAAATGTATTATTAGTAAAATATTTGATTGTGTCAGTCATAGGCTAGAGCTCAAATATTGGAGTGCTGAAATTATGAAATGCGCGTAAACATGTGGGGGATACGTCTCCACACCCCCAAATACCATATCTCGATTAAATGATTAAAATAACCATTTTTAAATGCACCAATGAAAACATACGCACGCTAATATTGTAGTAGGTATATAAACAGTAAAATACCTATCTTTATTAAGATTTAAGGTCATAAAGTACCAGTCTGTCTGAATATAAATCGCTCAATTTTGGTTCTGGAGTAAAAACATGTATAATAATATTGAATTGTGGCAATATATCTGAGGTATGTGGTTGCGTTTTTTCCATTAGGTATACCCAATATAAAGTTCATTATATAGGTATCGTTTTAAAATAGCCAAAATTTAAACATTTAAATTTTTTTTAAAAAACTCACCGTCATGTCTTCCAAAATGTTGTCATCTTTTAATTTTGTTATAAGTGTTATTATTCTAACACCAACATTGAGCGGGTTCTACTGAGTAAATGCGTTTTGTCTATGTCGTGCGTGTTAAGACGGAGACCACTTACACATTCGGGTGTAGGGTCTTCTTAATATATTTTGTGTTTTCCCGGAAAATCTCGGGCACAACACAATCTCGAAACAACTCATTTCAGTTTTTATATTTTGGTAGGTAACCGGGTAACCCCTATTATATAAGAATTTACCTATTGCTATGACCTTTAGTATTATATTATAGTCTATAGAGTAGGTACGTAGATAATAGTATGATTGATTATGAATACTTTATACTATAGTAATAATTATTAGTATTTATAATCAATGATATTTTCAAATTCGGTGACTTTTTTCCATTAATATGAATAAAATAAAATAAATTATTTATTTCGTATAATTATTATTTATTTATTTATGATGTATAATATATATTTTTTTTGTAATATTAATTAATAAAATTATAAAATACTTGATGTGTTATTTTTAATTTATAGATTTTATTATTTAAGTCAAAATTAAAGTAATTTTAAAAATCATTGCTAATTATCTATAATTCAAAATAATTTTTTTATAGTTAGAGGGCGTTATACACCCGCACTTTCTTTAAAATTAAAATCTAAAAAAAAGCCTAGAAGTTCACTAGATAATAATCTTATCTTTAAATTCACTCTAATTTTTAAAAAACAGAGCTAAACGTGATCTGCTGGCCTGAGCATACATTTTGCTGTTATGCGTTTGTAAGACAGAGAGAATTTATGTGGGTGTAACACCTTCATAAGGAGTTACGAAGATCTATAAAAACAAACATTTTTTGTGACAGAGAATGGAAATTTATGTATACCTATTATTATACTGGCGGTAAATGGACTTAGCGGAAAACAAAAAAGTTCAATTTTGGCAGAAAAGCGGAACATCTATTTTACCAATAATTGGTAATTGGCAATAACAATGGTTATGATTCATGGAACATGGATACAGTTAGGAAATAATAATATACATAACAAATTAATTTTTGTTTCTAAATTACAAGCGTTATAATTTTGTTTTCTTCAGAAACTGTACAATATTCATTCATAATATTTTATTACCTAATACAGCCCCTAATCAATAATTATATATAATATATAATATATAGGCGTCTAATGTATTAAAAAAAAAATCTTAATATAGTCCACGAACAAATACTTAATAAGTTTCATAAATATTAAATCGTATACAAAAGTATTATATGTATATTCATAGAATTTATAAGGTTAAGAACAAATGTGAGTACAGCACAACCCGTTTATGACACGGTCTGTGAATGTATAACCCGTACATGTTTTTTTCTGTTTGTCGACATACATAATAACACGGCAAGAAAATATCTCCATTTTAATACTATTTATGCACAAAGGAAAAAAAAGTTTATCGACAACATGGATTTACATGACTGGTTTATACAACATAATATAATATTATACAGTATAAAAGAATATAGTTTTCGATAGACGAAAAAAAAAATTAATAATAAGTAACAATTATTTATTGGGATTTTCCAATATGTGTAGCAGTTAGAGAAATCAAGATTAATACACATACACACACACACATACATATTATATGCGTATAGTGACTATTAAACACCTATATGCATACATTACATACATAGGGACTCGCCAATATGAATAGAAATAAATACCACATCTTAATTAGGAGTCGGAAAACAAAATTCTATTCTACTGGATATAATACAAAAATTTACCTTTAGAATTACATTTAAAATTACAAGTATACTAATTTATATAAAATAATAATACAGTAGTATATCTAGGTGGTATAGTTTACAAGACATACAAAAAAAAAAAAAGAATTATATATATATATATATTTATAATATTATGTATAATGCATAAATATAACGTCGTTCGAGCAATACTGAAATCAGCACACTGTTCCATGTAAAATAATATTATAATAATATGTTTAAGGTATACACAATGTTTACACGCGAGTTACTATGAATCGATAACAAAACTTAAACATGGTTAAAGTCTAAAAGACTATTACACATGGGTTCGGTATAAAAAAGTAAATTGACAAACTCATGTTTCAGTAACTTGATGGTAATAATTTTTATTTTTTTTTATCAATTTCATAGCTACACCGTGTCAATTTTTTTCATCACTAACAATAAAAATGTTATAATAGTACATAAAAAGGAAGAGAGGGAGAAGAGTACTATAATAATAGTTTTTTTTTATTATTATTATATTTTAATTATTAATAGTTATAATAAAAGCATACAAATATAGCATAAAAATAAAGAGGAAAAAATGGACCAAAAAAAAAAAAATGCACAGTTCACAGACAACAATTACCTTACAAATATCGTATACATTAAACTGTAATATGTTTCTTATTATAATTTTTAAAAAAAGCATTAAAAATTTAAAGGTTACTAGTCATGGTGCCTTAAAAAATATGCTACTTTATCATTCAATACAATAAATACTAAACAATTATTAACAAAACTCGTTTTATATTTAAAATTAAAATTTTTAAATATCATGAGAAATAATAATATTACCGTGTGTATATCGTATACTTGGTGAAAAAGGAGAAAAACACTGGACATGATTGTACTCGATTTTGATGCATGTGTTGATTTTCCTTTGAGATCACAGATAATAGAAAAAAAGTGTCAGTAAACATAATCAACAATAATATTATTATCATATTTTTTCTATATAAATTACTAATAATCTGGTGATGTGCACAATATACGTATACCAAAGTTACATGTTGAACGATAAACGTTCAAAAAGCTCAAGTTAATATTATCATTTAATTATTCAATAAAAATATTCATAATAATAATAATTAATAATAATAATAATAATAATAATAATAATAATAATAATAATAATATACTAAAAAATAGTTTCATAATAAAACCGTCTTTACTGAATTTCAGTATGGTAATCTCAAATATTAGACTAACGTTATTTATACATATACGCTTCCTTATATGTGATGTGTGCTGGGATTAAAACACACACAAACACCAAAGGCCTAAGTCTTTCGTTTTCGTCATTACAGTAGATCCATAATAGTAATTAGTTAGAGTGAGATGAGTGTTTTTTTTTTAGAACATACACAAAGTGTGAAGGCCAATTATTCTCACTCGCATATGTCTAAAATATTAAGTTAAGCAATCATTTTTATATATACGTAAAAAATGAACAAATTTAGTTATTAAGAATAAAAATGCTTAAGACAATTTTGGGCGTTTTATATCGACATCATCTGATGAGTCTTCGCTGTCGTCGTGCATGCCATGTGTCTGATATTCATGACTGGAGTTCCATCCTGTAGATGGTGATCCAGAGTTTTTAGGCATTGCCTGTAATAATCAAATACAAATTATTATCATACAATATAGATTTTTAACCACAATAATCTAATCTAATATATTATATTGATAGAGTTTCCTTGTATTTAATTTTAAATTAACCCTTTTGAGCAAATTTCTTAATAATTATATTAACTTGTTATTTATAATCACTCACCTGGTGTCCCATTGGGTCGTATCCTAGACTCCCATCAGAATACTGTGCCTGTAATTAATTAATTTTTCGATAAGTTTGAGATATTTATAAACAGTAATTGTTCTATAACCAATATAACGCACACAAACCTGTGATCCAGACATAGGAGAACTATACTCAGCACCATTTAAACTAAGACTGTAGCCCATGCTGTCTTGCGGACCACCACCAGGAGCTGGAGATAATAAAGGAGTTGGTGTTCCTTGAGAAGCGGGACCCATACTATAAGGGGAAGCGCCTACGAAAAGTAAATTATTTGAATATTAGTGAAATAATTAGTATTAAGGATCAACATTCAAATTTGGTTTAAATATTACATTATTTTTTAACCCTATACCATATTATTGTACTATATTAAATTATTGTTGGTGCAATATACCATATTTTATTCAATCCAGAGCCACTACAAATAGTTAGTTAATAGTTAATATCATTAATGTGTAATCTTTTATAATTTAACTGGGATAATAATTATTTCAATAATGCTTCTACTTTTAGAAATTATAGTTTTTCAAATGTTTGTATTAAAATGATAGGATGAAGTACTAGATACTTTAATTTAATAAAAAGTTATCTAGAAATGAATGACATAAAATGGATAGGTACTTTCAACTTATAATTTATAATTTATTTTTTAGTACAGAATTTATAATATCTATGTTTGCTGCAGTATACATTTTTTTGGAACAAATTCTCTTTTTGTTTGTTTTGTATTTTTCTTTTACGAGTTCTGCCAATGATCGATCAATAATAACTCCATCAAATCAATATAAGGGACCTGTTTTTTTTATTGTTAGTAACTAAATTATTATTTAATATTTATGTACCAATTAGAAATTCTATTATATCTTAGTAAACAAGCCAATTTAATATTTGGGCATAAAAAACTTTTTGAAAAATGATAAAAATAGTTTTAATAGGTACACAATTAAAAGTATTTTCATATAAATATTTCAATAGTTTAAAATGTTTAAGCAAATTGTAAATGCCTATTAAATACAAATGTATAGAAAATTTAAAATATTAATTAGTATTCTTTATTCTTTAATAACTTAATTAAATTTCCATTCAAAATTTGTGTTGATAATAGGATAAACTTTAAAAAGAAAAACAGTTGGAATTTTGTTTTTATTATATAGGTACCTATTCTTGATAATTTTTAAGTTGAACATAAATCTTTGATATGCGTACAATACTTGACTTTGAAGTGGTAAGCTGAGAGTCTGTGTTGCAGCCGTTGCAAGGCCAAGTAAACTTATAATTATTTTTTAATAGGAAGCTACATCCACATGTGTTGTCCTATCTTACAGCAGTCGGCAAATATAATATGCAATTTAATTATAGATAATATTATAGAAAATTTACATAATATTATCAGATTTGTAGAGGATAATAATATAAACTGTGCCAGAGGGTGGTGCGTAATATTCGGGAAAATGTTCGTCAGGATCAAATAAATTCAGGAATGCTTTTGTGATAGGAACTAATATTAAATAGAAATCACTCAGTAAAATTAAACTTCAGAAAAGTATATTTTGGAGGAAAATTATTCTTAGGAATTGAAAATTAATGAAAATAAAAATCAAGAAAATATTACCCAAAACAATTATTCAACGGGAATTTAAATATTTGGAAATATTTACACGGGAAAGTAATATTCAGGAATGATGCTTTCCTTTGTAGAATATTTTCCCGGTTTTGAAATTCTCATGTATTATTTTCTAGCATAAATATTTTTCTGATTACAAAATGTCTATAAATTATTTTCCTGTTTTTTATTTTTCTGGATTTTAAATTCCTATGAACTAATTTCACAAATTTTATTTTCCTGATTTATAATTTCCCGGTTAAGTTTTTCTGGTTATTATTTTCCTACGAATTATTGTTCCCTCGTATTATTTTCCCGTTTTTCTCATTTCTCTATATAATATAACTTTCCTGGATTTTATGATGCTGATATTATGTGCTATAATATTATTAACAATAAATAAACTATACCCAGTAAGAATCCGGAACGTACATTTGCGTATATTACGCGTGTGTAAGATAGAGACAACACAATATGCAGGTGTAGTGGAATGCATAAAACATTAGTAGAACGATATGCTATTTTATCAAACATATCGACGGCCACCATGTTTTAGATGCTTAAGAGGACGCTACACAGACATTTGCTGTCTCCGGTCTTACAAGTACATAACATAGGAAATTTACGCTCAGAAAATCAAGTTTAACTGAATTAGTTTAAAAATTAGAATGAATCAACCTATTATGAAACTTGAAGGTATAAGACATTATCTGTAATCTGTATTTGTATGTGGTTTTTTTTATAATAATTCAGTTTTTAAGTGAGTTATGAGCATTTTTAATTTACGCTATATTATGTACGCATAATTTAATAAAGAAATTGAACTATCGTAAAAATCCCGCATACAAACACAGATAATGTTTTACCGTCAAGTTTCATAATAATAGGTCGATTCACTCTAATTTTTAAACTAACGGAGCTATACGTGTTCTCCTGAGCGTAAATTTGCCAAGTTACGCACTTGTAAGACGAAGACAACAAATGACCGTGTAGCGTCCTCTTAAATCAATTTCAAAACAACGTTTATTTTGTTTAGTTTATTGAATTAGTTGAAAGAAGAAATTTTATGTTGAAATTGTTATAGAAATAAAAAAAAGTTAATTTACAGTGTTAAAAGTACCTATTTTGTTAATTCTGTTGAAGTCATATTATTTTCAATTTTGTATATTAGTACATTTTTGGTGGGTTGTGATAACCCTTTTTAAGGAAGTTGGGGGTTAGGGGTAAAGCCTCCCTAGGTATACGAGGTGTTTTAAATTGTTGAGGCCCGAGGAACAATTTGTTTACAAGTTAAGCACTGTATACAATAATAATTGTAAAATATAATTTATTATAAATTATGGTTACACAATTTGTACAATTAAAATATATTTTATCCATATTCGTGTTTCATTAACAATTTTGAATATTACATAATATTAATTTATGGCGTGGAACCTGACTGTGTAATCATTGGCAGGTGACACCACACCTTTGTATAAAAGAAACAGTGTACAACACGCTCGGGTGAGCGCACGCGCTCGCAACAAACACACATGCTCACTTAAAAAATATATATATATATGTATTATATATGTATATAAATCGCATTGTGTAGAGGGTGTAGTACGGGACAATGAGGAAACTAGGAAAAACCATTCGGGCTGTCAAGCTCAAAGCCAGGGTCTTGGTGATATATTACTTCCATTTGGAGCTTACACCGCCAGTGTGTATATATCGCTATCCAAATCCCTATAGTAAACTTCACCCTTTCCCCATTTACATGTTTTTCTCTTTATGTTTTAAACACCAATAAGGACTACAATCTGTGAAAATACCTCCGGTAAAAATAAAATTTCGACCCTGTCAAATACCACCAACAATATTGTAATGCCATTTTTGTATCCATAGTAAATAATATATTTATTGTAAATTATTCATATTAATATATAGCTAGAAATTATGTGAGTTCGTTCAAGTTGTTTTGCTGTTAATTTATTATAAGTACTTACCGGCAGCTTTCTTTGCGGCGTAAAGGTTTGCTTCTTCTTGAGCTTTACCGATATTTTTTTTATATCGAATTCTTTTATTTCCGAACCAATTGGACACCTGTATCATTTTAAATACAAATATTTTAATAACTATATTCACAAAGTTAATGGCTTTCAGAATCCAAAAAAATATGTACTTGTGACACTGTAATGCTACACTTCCTCGCTAACTCTTCTTTTGCTTCTTCGGAAGGATATGGATTGCTTAGATGCGAGTAAAAGTACTCATTTAGTATTTCGGAAGCCTGTTTACTAAAATTACGTCTTTTTCTTCTATAAAAAACAAAAAAAGAGATAACACAATAAACATAATTATATAATTTATAATATTATCTTTTATAACACAAACCTAGCATCCAAAAACCTAGATCTAAGTATCATGACCGCTTCACAAGTACTTTGCTTCAATTGCATTTGTATGGAAGAGAATTTCTTATGTATAATTTGCACCATTCGTTCGATCTCTTTTGGAGTGATCGGCCGCGTTCTAGACTGTTCTCGTAAGAGATTCATTACGTGGGTAGTAAATTCATTACAAGCCTAAAAATGTAGTTAAATCGTGAGTATTTGTCTAAATATATATTATAAACGATTACTTTGATGTAAGCCGTATGACATAATAATCATTACATTTGATAAATAATATTATTTGGGTCGTAGTTTAAAACTTAATCTCAACTCCAAACATATTCTAGATTTTAAACGTTAACCACGAACGGCATTAAGCAGATGATTATATTTATTACAGGTACGTCTAAATGTCCATAACTAACCTATCTCTAAGAATATATCCATCCGAAAAGTATAATTAATCATTTTTTGCGGTATTTGTTTGATCACACACCGTTTGTGGCATATCACGATATTAAAATAAATGTTTTTAAATGTCAAACTAAACACAAGACAACACAGGTTCAAGGATATCTACTTTATAAACATTAACATATTATGCATCTTGTAGATTATTTTTCAAGCAATTTGTCCTGCGAGGCCAACAAATACGTATTATTTAAATGTGATTTCGAAATGTTAAGAGAAAGCACAAAAACACGACCATACCTGGAACTCGAAACTTATTTCAATAAGTATTTAATTTATAAAACTCATCATTGTATACAAAAATAAAAAATCCAAAATTATTGCGTGCAGATCTGGTCGTTAGGCCGATTAATCTCTGGAATATCAAGCGTACTATGGGTCGCCGGCCCTGCACTCACATAATAGTAATATCATAGTAATCACAACGAGTTCTCCATACAATTCGAATAATTGCACGCTTCAGTAATATTCCCTTAGTTAATTCAAATTATTGTAATTTTTACAATTGACTTAAATTTACTTCCCAATTGATTACATACATAACGATTTAACTAAGAAAATCACACACACGCATACTTATTAAATAATATAAACATTGTTGTAGAAACTTATCACGAATCTCAAGTTCCTTAGTGTTTCAACGTTTTTATTCCTTTTAGAGAAGTTGAATTATCAGTCATTTTATTTATATTAATTAGGAATGTATGTTTAAACATAAATGTATGTATAAATTGTACCCATTGGAAAAATAAACTATTTGTAGTAGGTAACGAATTTTGAATTACTTATAATTTATAGTTACAAATTTACAAAAACATACAATACGATTGTATACTATAGTAGTATTGTATCTATATGACATATTACGATATTTAAAGTTTTAATTTTCAAAAAATCAGTTGAATAAAATGGTTGGGTTACTTCTATAGCACAAAACGCACATTTTCACAAAACGCATTGTTTGTCAAACCAATCTAAATATAAGATTGCAGTTTTTTTTTACATCATTCATAAAAGGAACATGTTGATCTTATTTTTGTATTAATAAAATGTATTAATAAAATATATTTACACTCTATATTAATATATACAATATGTGAAAAGGCTAACATTTACGATATCTATTAGACTGGAGGGACGTGATTGAAGGGGGTGATCCTACTTCAAAAATGTAATGCTATAGCTTATAGTATGTTAAACGTGATGGTCTATGGCCTATTGGTTTAAAATGTTGTTCTACTAAGAAAATGCATACAAATTTTATCTTTCTCAAATCTTAAATAAAAATTACTCTTTGAATTTTAGATTCTGAGCGGATCGATGAATGTATTAGTTTTAGCGTTTTACAATGATTTGAGGGCGCGTGTTTCTAATAATAATAATAATTTATATATAGAATTTTCAAATAAATTTAAATACATTAATAAATATTGACAGTAAATCTATGGGTTAGATCACCAATTAACAAACTCAAATCGTGTCACCTATACAAAAGGCCCAATGTGTTAGCCATAAGAAATATATATCATATAAATAATTCGTTTTTGATTAGGCCTTAACTTTTTGTAGGTATATGTTATCAATAATTTAATTCGCGGTTTCTTAATATGGTCTATGGACTTATACAAAGAAATAGAAATGGACTGATAGCAGAGAGAGGGAGAGAACTGGGGACCAAAATTGTTAGAAAAAGATATGCACATGTATTGACTATCTCTTTTTAAAAATGTTGGCACTGGAATACTCATAGTAGGGGTATGGGGGGAACGCGCAGTCCATGAATATTCTGATATGTCTATGTTGTTACCACAATATTTGGTTTGATAACAAAGTTTTTACTTTAGATTCTGAGGGGAGAACGAACGTATTGATTTTATAATACCTTCATTTATCAACTGCCTGGGCAGTAAAACTACTTTAATCTTCAACATTGAGCGTTTCTGGTAGTAAATTGGATTTAGTTGATACTTTGGGAGGGTCAAAGCTCAAAAATAAAAAGAGTTTGGAGTTGACATTGTGAAAATATATGTTTAAACGTTTAATAAGTAATAACAATTTTCATTATTTTTCTGTAATTCAAATAATACTAATAATTGTAGAAATTTCTCTATTAAGATGTTGCCAAGCGCACTTTTTGTTTTCTTATTTGACCCATACGCAACATAGCGAAAATTGTGTCCTCATACAGCAAGCACCCATATTGTGATGTTAGCTTTAATATTAGAGTGAATTGACCTATATCAAACCTAAAATAAAGAAAATTATTTGTGTTTGTACTTCAGCTAGCTATTAGAATATTTAAAAATGTCATCGTTACATGAGTATTTTTAAATCATAATATTTTACATAATCATATATCGTCATAAATTTGAAATATCATAAAATAGCCAACATACAAACGCAGACAATGTTCTATACTTTAAGTTTGATGATAGATTAATTCACTGTAATAATAAAGATAATAACACAAGATTGGATCTGCAAAACGTAGATTTGATATGTCGCACATGGGCCAGAAAGAAAAAAATTGTGATAAAAAAGTATAGTTAATACGATTTTAGTAATTTATTGGAATTCAAAAAATATTACGTAGGTACTAGGTTTATTATTATTTTCTATTTACAATACAGTTTTTAAAATATTAAGTCTAATTTTAAGCTATTTATACCACAAATAAATTCACACCTTTCAGTTACGTCAATATATTGACGTGTAACAATAATATAATATTATATTATTCATTATCATTGTTATAAAATATGAGATTTACCTATTTGGCAAAAATCAGTTCAATCTACCGTATTACTAATATAAAGAAATAAAGGCTGATACATCATCTACTTTCAGTCTTTCAGAATCGTTTTTCCTATGAATGATTTATTATTGAATTACAATTTAACATATTATCATCCATTACAGTGACATGCTCAAAAACAAGGTACACTCAAAACCTATACTTTACTGCAGCGTAGCAGTGCAATTTCCTCAGTTATTTCTTAACTGATCATGCCATAATTTTGTATTTATGTATCTTTCATAGTAGTACTACAATAGTACCAATTGGGTGAAGTAATATAGTTTTAAATTTAATTAATTTTTAACTTATCGATGACTAAAAATTACTTGGTACCCAAATTTTATTACCTGTTCGTATTTTTCCAGTTCTTGGTGGTAAATTTGTCTGATTTGAGCTAACTTTGCTCTGTAATCGGAATGCTCAATGGCGTTATCTGGTTGTCCGGGACCGCCCGAAGCTGCGGCTGATGCACTGGCTGCAGCTCCAGCACCCCCTCCTTTTTCAGGACCAGCCACTCCTTCTGCAATTAACATGTTATCTAATCGCATCAACTGTGGATCTGGTGGCTCTTCTTCTTGTGTATTTCTTAGACTTAATACTATAAATAAAACACAATAAAAAAAATATTAATTATTTGTATAAAACTAAATGTTGAACATTAAAAGTTTTAATAATTATTAACATAATAAATAATATTCAAAGTCTAAGTTTTAGTTGAAATAAATCCGACAACGTAAATAATACTCATGTTATTTATTTTTTCTGTTATATATTATATTATATATCTAAATAGATATCGTTTGACTTTTATCGACATAATCAAGCCAGGATTAAAGATCCATTGGGCTCCGTAATAGAAATCACTACATAGTGGGCCACCTCAACTCTCTTTTAAATGTGCATTGAAAAATATTTTGTGAAAAAGAATAGGATCTGGTTATGCATAATAATATCAATGTTTTTATACTAGGTAACAACATTTTATTATAGGGTATAATTTATATAATATTATTGAACTATAAAAATAATAAACTCTCAAATAACATACATAAACATCAGAGTCCGAATGTTCTTTCGATCATATACTTGTATTAGAGTATGTAATAAACTAATGCATTTGGTTATTGTTTACTTATCACAATAGAACAATTTTGATTACAGAATTGATCACTTATTGTATAGAAAATAATAAAAAATATTATATAACAGACAACATTCTTTCATCTTAATTTAAATACTGAATTATGAGTGATAAATTAGTTTTATAAACTTTATTGTTAATATTATTATAGCAATAAATATTATAAAATATCTAAAAAAATTACGCGAACGAACAAATTTTATAAGAAATTAATCAATGAAAAAACGATTGAATAAAATATATGCTGATGCCTACGATATTATGATACGATATTTCATTATGTAATTTACAAAGTGAATAAATATTATAGAAATTTATTAGTTTTAGTAATAGCTTGGTTATTAAATGTGGTGTTCTCCAATTTCAATTTATAATTAGAACCAGTAAAAATATCAACTAGGTAAATATTAATGTTAAATTAGGCAAATATTCTGGAATTAATAAAAATAAGATAGTATAATTAATATTTATTTATTAATTAAATAAAAAAATAGTTAGCATTCATTTGTAAATAAGTCTTAAATGATAAAAATAAAAAAGTTATACATTTATACCTTACATAATTTACCTAGTTGTAAAACCTTAATGATTGTACCATTCTGCCACTCAAACTGAGATAATTTGTCATCGATTTTTTTGTTTAAATTGTATGTTTTTGTAATATGATAAACACGCCCAGGAACTTTACGGAAGTTCTACCGGAAAAGGGGTAAAGTGCTACACTTGGCGCATGAATAATTCAAAATTAAGCAGGCGTTCTCTGTTGCACATAAAGGGTCTTTGAATTTACCTTGCATCTTTGAATAAAACAAAGCTTATCTCACTCAGTATTATTCATTATGTTATTTACTTTCGACAAATATGTTATGTAAGACCATAAGTCCAGTAACAAATAAGGAAAAAACATACCCACACAAAAAACTAATAACCTAGATTAGATCCAAGTAAATTCAAGTTATTATCGATGGAATTGTACACAGCCAATTTGTATTAGGAGGATGCTATATGTTATGTTGTTTTATTTATAGTTAATATTGAGCAATTTACCTATCGAATTTATATAAGAGAATATAAACTATGCCAAAGCTAAAAATTCTGAAAATTGTTAAATACATATTATAACTGGTTTCAAAATAAATAAATGAAAAAAACCAATATTAACTAAAAACTATAAAGTAGTAGTAAAAATCCGGTACGTAGTTTTGCCATCATAATCATCTTATGTTACTCGTGTGAAAGATAGGCAACACAGCATGTGTATGGTGCTCAGTCTTCATTCTTCTTAGTATTAACTAATGAGTGAAATATTTTTGAAATTATTAATTATTATTTTAACCACCTATCTAGATTAATACAAGCAATTTTTAAATTTGAAACAGATTACTCGGAACATATCAATAGTTGATACTATTTTCAAAATAATGATAAAAAATACAAAAATCATAGGAAATTTCAAATAGTATATTCTTAAACGTTTAATTAAAAAACTAGTTATCGTGATATTTTAAAGTTAACGATTAGATATTTCAGAGTTTACGATTAAGGAATCACCCTGTATAATGTATAATTGTTACATTTTCATGCATTATAATTCACAGTAGTAAAATAATTTGGGAAGCATTTATAGATTAATTTTAAGACCCTAAATAAAAGTGTGAGGGTAACGTATCATCGCGTGCTAACGCAGTTTCTGTGAATGAATAGTTGGTTTTGCACATAAGGAAACAAAACAAAAAAAAATGGTATCACCCTATTAAGAATAATGAAGTCGTACGACGTACATAGAGCGTAAAATATAAGAACATTAATAAAAACTAAACAGCTATAAACGGACAGCTATATTATTTGATATTTATTTCTTTACAACTCATAATTAAGCTGAAATCTGTCCGAAAATAGTAAAAAACATTTTGAATTGTTTTTAACTAAAAGATTACAAATTAACATGCAATATTTATAAATTAATAAAATCGAACATTCATACATGAATAGGGACGGAGCCAACAGCTCTTCACAACTGTCACTATTTATAAACTAGTTATTTCGGGTGAAAACATGTGTTCCTCCATACCAAAACACATTTTTGTTCAGATCACATAAATTATATATACACACACACGCATAAGCGTTAACCCTCATATCTCATAACTTGTACACGCAACTTATCACAATTTTCCACGCACACATGCACGAGTAAAATAAACAATAGCAGCATCACCTCCCCATAATATCATAAATCGTCATAAAAGGTGGAAAAGATCTTTCATCGGCTACTTCAAACACACTTCAAGTATGGAAATTAATCGGATAAACTACATATTATAAATTATAATGTATAAGTACTCATCCCGATTATTTCCACAAATTAATTTAAAACATTTTATACATGGGCTATACGTTGTTTTAAAACTTAACTTTAAAAGTTACCTAATAAAAAAAAAAAATAAATAGTATCTAGGTAATCCTACTGATTAAATTAAATGTAATAGTAGAGTTAAACAAATTATATAGCAAATAATGATGATTTAATGTTTAATCCAAATTAATAATTTTTTTTTTCAAACTCAACAATGTAACAACGTGTGAAGATCCTTAACATGATATTATAAAATGTTCGAAAAACCAGTGAAATAATATTGTTATAAATTAAAAAAAAAATATTTAAGTCAGTTATCACTAACGTCTAACCGGGTTCACATTAGAAAGTAGATTTAAGGTTTTTTTAACTATATAGTTAGGTAATAAAGTTTCAGGTGTCAAGTCGTTTTGAGTAAATTACAGTTCACCATAGCGCAGCGGGAGAAATAACAGTATAACTGCGGGGTATCTAAACAATCTGTGGCGATAACTTGGTATCTGTAAGGTCAACGATGGGTTGAACGGGACTTGACTTAAAAGTCACTTTGGTAAATTACCAAGTTGCGAGTTTTAAAAAATAATAATATTTAAAATATATATACACGGCCAAAAAAACCATTATTTTTTTTTATCAAATAGTTCAAAACGTGTCATTAGAAAAACAATTTTTTCTGATGATTTTTGTTACTTATTTAAAATTAAACGATAGTATTTGACAGTTAAATAATCAATTAATTTTTATATTTTACGAATTTTCTCCCATTATGACAACATAGTTTTGTATGTAGGTATTTTATAATAAAAGTAAGTAATTCGGTATTCACACTCATTTCAAACAAGAACTATATCTACGCTCTTACAGCAGGCTTATCACATAATATTATGTTGACTGTTTCAAAAAGTTTCAAATACATAACTATAACGTTCCGAAAATGCAAAACTGTAATCGTACACCGTATACAAGTTTAAACACGTAAAGAACTAAGAAGGATTTCTCGAACATCCCAAGCGTTTCGCGAAAGATTGGTAGAAGCGGTGTTGGCAGTAGGAGTAGCAAGAGGCGATATAAAAAGTTCGCCGGAATGTTCTAAGTTTTAATTAAACAATTGTTTTTTTAGAGTAAATATTTCAGTCGTAGCAGAGCATTTGTATATACAACATTAGTGTATAGTAGAAGGCGCGAAAGGGGCTCGCGTCAAGGCCGGTCGACCAAAGAGCGAGGAGGAAACGCGACGGTGCAATAATATAAAACAGTATAAAACGCGAATTGGAATTGAAGACGAAGAAAAACATGTACGCGCGCAACACAATATCAGCCGGTGCGGAATGGCACTCGGCTGCCAGGCCGCCTTTTTCCCGTCCGTCCGTTTCCCTCCCGTTAGGTATTGATTTGTTCCAAGGACCAGCGCACCCCATCCCCTCCGCACCACACCATCAACACCACTGCTGCCGCCGACGACGACGTTGCTTCAGTCATCCACACATACCAAAGTCTGTCATTCTTTTAAACGCATTATAATAATAATAATAATATTATTATGCGTACATAATATTATAAGTTATAACTAACATAGTAATATATTAGGTACATGTAAAAACACGGGCGCACAGCGGTTAACCATTACTGTCATAACTAATAACTATTGCCAAAATGTATCGTTTATTATTATAAGATCCAGTAGATCGATACAGGCTATTTTGGATTTAATTTTTAGTCTGAACGCGCATGCAAAATAGCAAACGCCGACGTCTGCAAACGTGAACAGATGTCAAGCCATTGTCAACACGGCAGTACGGCACGGACACGTCTGACAACTGAAACACATCGATCGGGCACCATAAACATTAAATGCAATACGTGACGAGATTTGTAGGGGAAAAAATGTACACCGTGGTATCATAATCGCGTTCCTTGTATTGTTTTACACGTTTCCAATATTCTCCAAGACCAAACGTATTATATTATTTCCCCTGAAAATGGGGGAACCGCATGTGGCGTTATTATTATTTTTGACGGATACGCACATGTTATCATACGGTCTGTCGCAATGCGGGATACTTTCTACCCTTTGCAACAACTGCGCACATTATTTCTCCAA